TACATTTGACTTATTTATAATAAATCTTTATTATTTTAAATTACGCCATATTTACAATACTCATTTCAATTAACCTTTTACTCCAACAGCACTACCTACAAAAGGCTTTATTAGTTTTGGCCTGATAACAAAAAACAGGCGTTACGAAAGAAGAAAGTACAAAGTCATATGAAATGAACAATATTTCATCAAGTTTTGCTCTTTTTTCATTAACTTAACCTTGAAATGACCTTAAATCTATCTGATGGCAAAAAACCGACGACGGATTCGGATTCAGCGACCCTAAAAACATAAAGTCTCCTAGGTCCGGTCTCTGGAACTGAACATTTTTCTTTGTGTGCCTGTGTTATTAGTGGCAGTCTCGATCCTACTCGAAACCAATTAGCAAGTAAGTGACAGTCTACCCACGTTCTGTGATTTCGAATTCCTATATTGAAAGAGAGTTCAAAGATGTCAGCAAATAAACAATATTAACGAATAAGTCACTTCTATTTCTTCGTTTCGTAATGACTCGTATTTTTCTAATCCAAAATCGAGCATATATAATAATATTTAACAAATGAAATCATTACACAGCCCTACAAAAAAAAAAATTTCAAATCCAATGACCGGACATAGTGGACTTTATGTTTTTGGGGTCGCTGAATCCGAATCAGGGGTCAGTTTTTCTAAGGTTGGCTCATTTTAGGGGTCATTTGAAGGTCAAATAGTGGGAAAAGGGTAAGCAATCTGAAAAAATTCATACATGGGTTTTTGAGGATGCTGAATCCAAATCCGAGGTCGGATGACCTTCAGGAGATCCCTTTCAAGGTCATTTGAAGGTCAAAAAATGGGAAAAGGGTAAAAAATCTGAAAAAATCCATACATGGGTTTTTGAGGATGCTGAATACAAATCCCCCTGCAAGACCACTGGCATCGTTACCTCGAAAAATTGATGAGCGGATCATTCTAAACATCCCATTTCGGGCAGTTGTCACCGACATCAAACTTATCGAGGCAGCAGGTAAAGTCTAGAAGAGAAAAAGGTGTGTCAGAATGAAAAGTAAGTTAACAGAACCGCATATTTCTCCATATCAATGTCACGAACGAAAACGGTGTATTAATATGAAAAAATATGCCGTTTTGTCAATTTACTCCCCATGCCGATCCACCTGGCTCATCTCTACTTTGTCATAAGGATATACTTACAGTGAATTTATTTTTACACTCTCAGACATTGTTTCAAAATTTTAAAATGCATTCGTTTTAATCAAAGAAAAATCCATTGATGAAGAATTTTTCAAATTTTGTGACCCAATTCTATAGTGAAAAATAAAATAGCCTATATTATATTCACATATAAAGAAGTCATATAAAAAATTTACTTGAAGCTATGTCAACAAAAATAAGGTAAATTTTATAATAACGAAAGTAAAAATTGATTGTTAAAAAAAAGAGATTTTTTTGGTTGCTTTACTGCGGGGAAATAGCTTAGAAAAAATGTAGTCATTCGTACCGTATAATATAATATTAACTCTCCTTTATATTTATTGAGTAGGAAAAAAGCAGCCCCATCCCAGAATGTAAGCTCGCTAAATGTCTCAGACTAAAAAATTAATTCTGTTTTAAAAAACTAAGCACGAACTTCTTCCAATATTTTATCGCATTAAATAAATTTAACGTTGAAATGACCTTGAAGGTGACTTCATAGAGGTTATCTGACTTCAGATTTGAGTTCAGCATCCTTAAAAACCTATGAATGAGTATTTTCAGATTTTTTTTAAGCTTTTTTTGTGATCTGACCCTAAAATGACCTTCAAATGACCTTTACAAGGCCGAAAACAGTCAAAATGACCTCTTATTTAGAATGAGCAACCCTCAAAACATAAGTGTGATTTTTTCGGATATTTTCATGATAAAATCGTTGCGCCTTGTTGGTAAATGTTGATATTTTTATTAAATCCTCGTAGTTTGACCTTCAAATGACCTTGAAAGTGACCTCCTGAAGGTCATCTGACCTCGGATTTGGATTCAGCATCCTCAAAAACCCATGTATGAATTTTTTCAGATTGCTTACCCTTTTCCCACTATTTGACCTTTAAATGACCTCTAAAATGAGCCAACCTTGAAAAACTGACCCCGGATTCGGATTCAGCGACCCCAAAAACATAAAGTCCACTAGGTCCAGTCGGTGGATTTGAAAATTTTTTTTTTTTGTAAGGCTGTGTTATTAAATCACTGACACAATGCAATCAACAGTACTTTGTTTTGCATTTGTGAAAGTGATAAAACAAAAACATAAAAAACTCATACAATGCCTGTGCAACTTTCGTTGCATACTAACTATTTTTAATGCTATTTTAACCCTTCTTTATTCTCTAGGCTAATAAAGCTTATATTGCTCTCGTGACGTGACAGAAATATAGATCTTTGAAAAAGCAAAGACGAATATATATATATATATTGGGGGGGTTTATACACCTTCAGCCTATTTGGCCTAGAAAGTGCCCTCCGATTGGAGGCTTATACCTTTATTTAATCATTTTTCACCTGTCCTTTTTTCCTAACCTTTTTCCTATCCTTTTTCCTTCCCTTTATCCATCTCCGCATTTGCCCGGGGTTATGCCCGTGATATGGGGAAAAACTCAGTGAGAAAAACCCATACCGGAGTTGGTCGGCACCTTAGTGGCACCTCCCGCTAGCAAATGATGACGCTGGCAAACACAGCTGAGCGATGCGTGAGGGCGCTATGCGCTTGACGGAATGGGTTCCCTGGCGGTCACCCATCCACGTACGTACCGCGGCTTATAATGCTTTATTTCGCACATCGCTCGAGCCGTGAGTACCTCGCCCCACCACCTGCTTCGGTAGAGAAGACGAATATATTGATGATCAGCTGGTACCAAAACAAAAACTTGAAGTAAAATACTTAATGACCTGAACAGTTGTAGCAGCTTTAGATAGATGCAAAGTTAGCAATAGAAATATATTGTATTGTATGCTATATTGCATTGTAAAATACAAATAAAAATGTTCTTATAATATTTTTCAACATTTTGTTACACTTGAGTAGAGGAAAATACTTTTACAAAGAGTTAAAGTCGAAAACCATAAAAATTGCTTGAAAACTCACTTTAGAATTCTGTAGTAAGGCTTAATCGAAGCTGAAAACTTGTTTTAGTGGTCGTGACTGTTAAATTGATCGAAGTGGCTATTCAGGGTAAAATAGGGCACGAAATTTTTTTCGTAGACGAAATATTTAATGTAAAACTCAGAAAATCAGAAATTTTTGTGTACTAAAATTTACATGTCCAGGTTAAGTTCATGGACGTAATTTTCCGGAAAATTTTTCGTACACGATATTTCGAATTTGCTACAATAAGTCATGGACAATATTTTTCGTGCACGAAAAAATTTCGTTCACGAAAAAAATTCCTTCACGAAAAAACGTGTAAATTTTTTCTACACACAAAGATGACAAGATGATGCTGTATCGTACAACCTATGAAGAGAGAAATGTAATGATACTAATAGAGAATGGTTTCTATCAGGATTCTCGAGTGCACCTGGTGAAAATCGTTTGTAAAATACTCAAGAGATTGAGAGTTGACTTGAAATTTTTCAATGCCCAAATATATCAAAATATAATAATTGTTGTTTACAAATTTTTTTCTATTGAATATTTTTTAACAACAATCATTATATTTCGATATGTTTGGGTAGGGTAAACTGCCCAGTTTCTGACCAGCTACCAGTTAATGACTACTAAATGAATAATTACTTATAAATTGAATATGCGAATTTTAATCTAATTTATAATGTTTGTCCAACATTGAAAAATGTTATACCTAGTTTGATCCCACTTTCGACCCATATAAATTATATTAAAATTAATATTTTCTTAACTTTTTTACTAGACCGATTTTTGAAAAACGGCTCTGCGAAGCCCTCCGTAATGTTGTCGTGAACAACTGCACCGAATATGAGCCAATTTCGTCATGTAGTTTTTCCGGAAAACAGGATCAAAATTTTTTATCCTGCAAACAGTAGGCAAAAATTTCGATCCTGTTTTCCGGGAAAACTACCCGATGAAATTGGCTCAAATTTGGTGCAGTTGTTCACAGAAATGATACGGAGGGCTTCGCAGAGCCGTTTTTTAAAAATCGGTGTAGTACAAAAGTAATTTAAATTTACACTTTTAATGCACGGTCGGTTAAAATCAGGGCTTAGGTATCACCTCAATAATATTAGCGAAGCTAAAATAATTTTTCTGTATTTTTAATTGGTTTAACATTTAATTAGCTACGCGATGATCTATTTAGTTTTTTTCTAAACGCAATCATTCATTTTTTTAGTTTTTCTAACGCTGAAAAACAACAATTCGGTCATTAACTGGGCAGTTTACTCAATTGAAAAATTCCAAGTCATTAACCCTTTCTCGTGTACGAAATTTTCTTAGTTTACGAAATTGTTGACAGATAAAATGATTGTTTTGGAAAATTTTTTTGTCCAAATTTTCGTGTACGAATATTTTCCGGAAAATTTCGTCGATGAACTTATCCCGGAAAATCCAAATTTTCGTGTACGAAAATTGTCGAATTCATGAGTTGTTATAAAATTTTCGTGTACGTAAATATTTTCGTCCACCAAATTTTCCTGAATAGCCAGACTCGTTGACACTTGATTGATGCATTATTTTACACCTATTACAGATTTCAACACTGGTGTATCCTTTTAACTGAGTCTCACGTAAAGTTATATTCAAAATGTAACTAGTCATACGACTAGATCTAATGAATTTCTCTAAAACTAAGCAGGGATCATTAATTCAAGATTGAGATATTTCTTGTTCAACTGTTTTGTTTCGATTGAATTTGAGACTGATTTTTGCCTTTGATAAGGCCTCTATTTATAGTTAATCTGCATAATTGCAAAGTGGGGAAGAATGAAAGTCGTGATGGGACCTACCGGTAAGCACTCATGGCAAACTGACTTTTTTAAATTTTACTTATTAACTACTACTAGTACACAACACTCAAAGTGTTGTTTAGTCTGATATAATTTTCAAATATTTCCTTATGCTCATTATGAAAGGCTGCAAGTAAAAGTAGTAATTTAAAAACGAATTATTTTCCATTATATAACATTAAATTGCAAAATTACCTTCTTTATGCTCGTGCATATTATTTAAATAGGTCGTGTCAATTTTTATAAAATTATTTCCTATGTTTCGAGATTTTTGGAACAAATCCAAAGCTCCATGTTCCTGAAATAAAAAGGATAAAATTATGTTTCTTGTCATTTTGAATTTTATTTTTGTCATATTGTCATAAATTATCAACTTTTTTCAGATAAATCTCTCTCTATAAGCTGAAAACGACTCAATTCAAGGGGACACATCAGGGTTAAGGGGGTAAAAGTACCTAAAATCTCGAAAAATCGAACAAGTAAAAGTCGAACAAAAAAATAAGTAAAAAATTAAAAACAAATTAAAAATTGAAAAATTGAAAAATTGAAAAATTGAAAAATCAAAAAAAAATCAATTTAAATAAAAAAATCTAAAATCAAACAAGTAAAAAGTAAGAAAACAAAAAAACAAAAAACATGAATCAAAAAAACGAGAAAATCAAGAAAAATCAAGAAAAAGAAAAGTCAGAAAATCCCAACACAAGCATCGATGTTTCACATCTGGTGCGCTAAAGCTCAAGAAAGTACTCTGTTTACTTGACTAAATGAGAGGGAACGATTTGAAGGGTAAGGACGCATTGATAATGCACCAGATGTGAAACATCGATGCTTGTGTTGGGATTTTCTGACTTTTCTTTTTCTTGATTTTTCTTGATTTTCTCGTTTTTTTGATTCATGTTTTTTGTTTTTTTGTTTTCTTACTTTTTACTTGTTTGATTTTAGATTTTTTTATTTAAATTGATTTTTTTCTTGATTTTTCAATTTTTCAATTTTTAATTTGTTTTTAATTTTTTACTTATTTTTTTGTTCGACTTTTACTTGTTCGATTACTTTTAAATTCTTTAATTTTCTTTAATTAATAATAAGATGTTTCACATCTTGCAGCTGTTCATAAACAGCTGATTTTTTTCAATTTTTTCAATTTTTAATTTGATTTTAATTTGGTTTTTTTTTACTTTTTTTCTTACCAAAAATGTCTCGGAGATTTGAAAGTTGTCCCCTCCAATCTCTGATTTTTTTTATTGGAAATCACATTTTCGAAAAGTGACTCGTACTTTAATTATTTTCTTTAACTTTCAATTGTAGCTTTGAAAGTAAATTTTTAATAAAAATTATTTTTTGATGAATTAAAATATTAAATAAGTTCATTGAGCGGTTATCGTTCGTTGTATGTTAATATAATATGANTGAAATGAAACGTAAGCTGTGAAATGAGTTGGGTGGATGATGATGAGTAGCATTTACGGTGAGCAAAAGTTGAAGAGGAGAAGACTAATGAGTCAAGGAAGGGAGAATTTAGAAGTGCGTTTGGTGAGGTTGAGTGTTCGTAAAGTAGTTGCAGTAGTATTAATGAGAATTCAATACTATAGGCCTGGGTTTTAATTCTGAGAGGTCACTTTCGGTCATGATGGGGATGAGTTCCGAGTTGTGAGTTTCACGCATAAAGACTGTGAGGTTCTTCATAATAGGCTGCGCATAATTAAGCGATAATGTAGCGTCGTGAGCCCTGTTGAGTAGTTGAAAGACTTCTTTTGGCCACAAAGGACGTAGCCTGATCTTGTGCTCGCCCACACCAAAAAGTGCACTCGTGTTCACCATTGATAATTTGCTTGCATTAATTAAGCTTTGATCACGAACACATGGGGACGATAGTTGAAACACAAATGCTTTAGTGCTTCCCGGCGCGGGCTTGAGTCTCTTTTTTGGTTCCCAAGGGCGGGTTTTTACCAAGAACTTATTGTAGTTTTTCAGTCCTATTGTTTTGAAAATTTTGTCAAGAGTTTCCTCGTGGCATAGATTCACGCTTGACGGTAAACCTGTGAGTAAGATCTCGCAAGGGTCCACCAGGTGAGTGTTAGTAGGTGCAAATGCCACGCCAGAGGGACCAGATGTAAGGCTAGAGGTTAGCGATGATTTAATATCGGCGATTTCGAGATGAGAGGGATAGACAGAGATAATTTTGGGGCTCGCGCCTAGGAGGTATATGCCTGCGAGCTGAGACTGTTACTGGCTTTACTATCGATTGACATGTTAATAGGCATACGTTTGCCTTAAGGAGGCTCTTTCGATTTTGTCAAAGATGAGAGAATTTGATGTAATTGATATCATCGATTCCTTAGAGCATCACAATTATGTAGAAAAAAAAAATTGGGGGTCGGCGAACTAACTTCCGAGAAAACTGCAGTCGAAAATGCTCATTTTAACATGCAGTCTTATGGGAGGCTATATTTTTTTGTTAATAACTTTTTTCAATGATGAGAGACTTTGATAAAAGTTATATTTTCTGAAAGGGAATTTAATAATGTTTAAAATGAAATGATAAAAAATATAGGTTGGCGAACGTTCTGAAGAAATATAACGTGATAACCGTTGAATTCCTCGATGTGATCCGAAAGACGACGCAAAGCAAAAGAGCGCGAAATTCAAATTCGAATAAAAATAAAAATTTTAAATTAAATAAAAAACGGGGCAATTCTGAGAAAGAAATATTTTATTATTAAAATATGAATTGAACATTTTATAAAAAAAATCAACTAAATCTATTTCTCAATGGGAAATAAACTTAAAATCAGATGTCTGCTCGAGAAAGGCCTAGCCGTACGGCACATGCGCATTACGTTGCGTTCTGCACCATGCGTAAGCTACAGCGCGTTCGACTGTACAAAAACCGGTACCGAAAGAGCCTCTTTAATATCTAATTGTAACTTCGTGATTACGAATTAGAGTTAATAAGTCGAGTCACGTTAATTAATGCAGTTGGAGTGTGCGGGTGCCAGAACCTTTCTTCACGAGGGTGCCAAGCGAGCCATTCCCTACGTGGGGAAGCTATTATTGTAAACATTATTATTCGTCCTAAAGTAGGATGGAAATACATACCGAATTAGGGAATTTGAACCGTTGAATCCACTGAATAATTAAAGAAAAGGATTATTCACCAAAATTGTTGATATGACTAATTTATTTTTTCTGGCCATAGAATACCTTGCTTAAAAGAGTGAAAAGGATAATTTACCAAAATTGTGGGAGTAGCTAAAGTTATTTAAAATCTTTTAAATGCTTCACATATCAGATTGGGAAATTCATTTTCACTAACCATTTAATACCTTGCTTAAATGTGTGAAAACGATCATTCATTAAGATTGTAAGAGTAGCCAAAGTTTTTGAAAAATTGATAAATGCTTCACGCATATAAGATTACGAAATTCGTTCTAATATTCCGTTGAATTTCCTGCTTAAATTTGCGAGGGGGATACTGCACAAATATTGTGCTAGTAACAAAACAAACTGTTTAATATCTATGTATTAAAATATTTAGGTTTTCAATAGCATTTTCTATGTCGTCGTGAGTTTCCAGTGGGATGAAGCAGGTAAGATTTTGATTTATGTACTCGCGATAAGCTGGCCAGTTAGTACTTTTATTGCCTAGAAAAGTTTGTTGGTCGTCCAATTAATTTGAAGTGGAGTGTTAAAATTATTGGGGAGTGGGCGACCCACTTGCGCAACGTGAATCCACCCGCCTTCATGAGTTGAATTAGCTCATTGCGCAACTCCCTTGCTCTAACCAACTCTGGACCTTGCTTGCCTAGCCATGGGGAATTGAGCAACCTCATCAGTTGTTGGATATTGCGCAGAGCTAAGTAAGGTGCGCAGGTAGTGCCGTATGTCACAGTATTTAACCGATAATGTCAAGCTAGTTCGGCAGTACATGGACTCCAGAGCGTGCCCTGCCAATCAACATCGCACTCATCAATAAGAATTTTACTGTACATCATTTGCACATCGGTAAAAAAAGGAATGCGATGTTTCCTCTAACGAAAGAGAAACAGCCAAATATCCCTCTGGAGCTTGGGGCCCCGACACATCACGTCGTTCAGACTGACATCAGACGATGTAGGTCGAGGTGCGTCAAATACTACCCATAGCCTGGGTCCATGATCGCTGGCTTGCCAAATTCCATGGTTCGGGATGTAGTATACGCGGTGCCTGCACTCAATTTGATGTCGAGGTATTGCAGTCATGTGTCCAAGCTCAATGTACGTTTTCATGAAGGATCGATATTCTTGAGCAAAAGGAGGACAGCGTGTTATGCGTCAGTGAAAGGTGTCAAGTGAAGCTCGTACCTAGCTTTCACTAGAGCCCAAGCGTTTAACTGCGTCAGGCTTGACTGGAAGTTGAACAGTATAGCGACGAGTCGAACTACGCCGGTGTTGGGCGAACAAGCTTTCGGTCCAAGTGTCGATGGGCGAACTTTTCTCGGCGCGAGGAAACTCTTCAGTTGCCCAGAACCTATGAAGCAGAGAGGCTAACTGTAACTGCCATGTCGGCTCAATATTCGGCCAACGGAATCAAGCATTGAGCTGATTCGATTAGCTGAGATTGCCTGAGACCGCCCCACACGATCCACCCAACCAATGTTCTTTAAGCGACTAGACCGTTGACATGCTGGGAACCTTCTCCCATCAAGTAGAGCATAACGTTGGCACCAAGAAGCAAGTCCACCGATCTAGGCTTGTAGAAGTTTGGATCCACTAAAGCACCATGCATACTTGCCGGGGTAGCCTCGTAGGGCAGTTGTTGTGATGGCGTCGTAATGCCGAGATGACGATGACAGTTGACCTCGATAATAATGGACGACCTTTGACCAGGCAAATGAAGGCTGAGGCCGACTCGCCATTGTGACCGTTGGGCGACGTCACCGCCGACAACGGAGATATCCGTAGTGACCTCCTGCACCGGTGCCTCCGAGAAATTGTCCAAGAGACAGCGTACAGCGATGGTGTTTTGCTGCGGACCAATGATGTGCACTCTCGTAGTAGGCAGCAATATTGCCTGGACAGACAAGTTGTTGACACTGCGGCTGCCCGTGTCAGGGGTGCTGTTAAGGGGAGTCATACACCAATTCACTCCTCTTTGTCATTTTTTAAATATAAAACACAGTTTAATGTCAATCTACATTTTCAACATTAAATTGACATCTTCGAGCCCTAAAAAATGTGAAAAAAGTTGCAGAATAGTTCTTTGCATTTAGATAGCTTATTTTTGCTATTTTATCCTTTCGGCTCTGTGCAAAAGGTTCAG